AATAAAGTAGAATTAGCTTATCTGGCTGTGTTTCCTGTCTGTTCTACCTGGTAAGGCTGACACTATACAAGAACTGAGCATTTGTGTCATGCAGTCATTTCCAAATCAACATTTACCTTCAAGGCTGGTATTCAGTGACATAGAATAATACTAATCTAGTAAATACTTAATATGTATATGTATATAAAAAGATTCTACTTTCCTTTTCTTTTTCCCTCCTACATTTATTTCTATGACACTAAAGTCAGAAGTAAATGAATTTAATTCACTGTTATTTCTGCAAAAGGCAATCCGTTACTTACTTGCAGGCATTTTTTACCCTATTACTTTCTGTGCCTGAAAATGCAATGAAAACCATTCACTGAAACTTAATGAAATTACTTATTTTACCTGTTGGAACATCTATTTACACAATATAATTATAGCAGTAGGATATAGGATGAACAAAGTGGATCCCTGACATACATAGTATTCAGTGGCTAATGGAGTTAACATGTGTACAATGAATAGAAGTCAGCAGTGTCCACAGGGTGCAGTCAAAAAAGTCAAGATGGTGACTGCAACAATGCAACTGAAGCTCCACCCATTTTTCTGCACATTTAATGTGTCAGGCACATAACAAACAGGTGGAGCTTCAACTGCATCATCACAGCCACCATCTTGGCTTTTTTGACCACGCCCTATGACAACTTTGTTAGGAACACAGGTAGTGAAGGATTCCCTGCACACAGAAAGATCTACACATATTAGAGCAGGGCAATGCTCTGGATTCAAAAACAAAATGGGGCTTTGGAGCACATGGGAATGTGCACATGGCATCTGTCAACTCCTTAAGCCAAATGCCGCTGTCACTCTGCTGTTGTGAAGACAACAGCACAATCCCAGGAGAAGACACAGTTGCCAAGAGGTGCAATGTGAGGACCTCTTTGGGCTCTGAAGCAACTTTTTGCTTTGGAACCCAAATACTGTACAGCCTGAATATATAGACATTTGTACACGCCTGTGCAAAGGTGTTAAACCAAATGGGCACTGTTGCCTTCATCATCATGATGACTTCCTATGAAAACGTTGAGCTGCCAATAGAACCCTTATATCTTCTGGAGTTTGATTTATTGGTTTTCAGCTTCCACGTTTACTTTGATCTTCAGCATTGCTGGCTGGGGAATTCTGGGAGTTGACGTCCACACAGCCTCAAGTGGCCAGGATTGAGAAACAACGCTATACAGTAACAGAAAAGCAGGACCTTCTTGCTTCAGCCTCCGCCCCTCGACCCTCCTAAAAATGTGGGATTTGTAGCGGTTTCTCACTTGGGCCTGTGTAGGTTGGAATACTGTAGTACTGGAGGTCTTACTCTAGTCTAGTCTCTCTACTCCCCTTTCCAATATGCAGACACCCCGTATCTGACATCTCCCAAAATCGATGTGACAGGAGCTGCTTGACTTGGGTCAAATAGAAGGGGACGCAAGGAGAAATGCCCACATTTGCAACTAACAGAGCACATGGGGAAGGAGAACAGATATTCTTCACACGCTTCTGACCTTTTTTCCTTCCTAACCAGAAAACCTCCAGACTCAGCAGTGAGAAAATAACCCTGCAACAATGACAGAATAAAGTACTGCTGAGAAGAAGAGGTTTCAACTCCTTTCTTCTCTTACACACCTCTTATTAGTACCATTAGGAGCAGCAACCTTGCTGGGAACAATAAACTATTTTGCTGATCCCATCACATCCAGTCTGGCCCTGAGATGAAAAGGTCTGGTACAAATTGATCACCTTAAAAAAAACAAGGCACAGGAGTAAGCATTTGGCCAAATTGGTCTGGGCTGGGAAGCTAAGTAGGGTTGGGCCTAGTCAGCATTTTTTTTTCAAATAATTTTATTAAGAATTATACATGAAAAGAATAAAAGTCAATACAAACTACAAAAAAACACAAAAAAGGGGGAGAGAGTGTAGAAAAGAAAAAAAAGAAAAAGTAATTTCCCCCTTCATCAGGTAAAAACAGGTTTATTAGCTTGTCACCATCTCTAAATAAAACATAATTTCTCTTCTCCCTGTAACTCATCTCTTAAGTAACAAAAAACCAAAATCCAAATGCTTCATCAATCATTCTTTGTAGCAAAAATCCAGTAAGGGCAGCCAGATAGAACTATTTTCCTCTTTTAGCCCTGATTAAGCAAGCCAACCTTGTAAACCTTCTCTGAATTTTTAAAATTATTCTTTAAC